ATCATGACGTATGCACCGTTAAATCATAATGTATGCACCGTTAGTTTCATCTCGCATTGTTAGATTTCGAATAAAATAACACCAATCAAAATACAACCTCGTCTTCTGGATAGGGCTATAAGAAACACCAATCACCACTAATACAATGCAGTTCGCAGAATACTAAGAGACGCCAAGACAAGCTCCATCTAACCATCCGAAGCTATACAACTAGCTTAACATTCAATTGTAAGACAAATCTAATCCGCCTAATCAGTATTAAATAAGCCACATATTAATCCACCTCACTTTGGATTACAAGTCGAAACTACACAAATCGTAAGGTACTGCATACAAAATTAAGGTGGCCACCTAAAGAACGCTAAGAACATACGCTTTCCCGGACCATGTAATACTCCAACCAAACAAAATGAGCAAGGTAACCATCAAGCACACAACAAATTTGTATGAAGCAATGAGACTAACCTCGGGCTTTGGCTACCAAAGATTGTATAGACACACATCCCTTTTTCCTGCGGGTAGGAGTGACCTGAAATTAACCAACAAAATTTCCTTATTGGATATAGAAAACAGTATCGGCGCATGTTATTTGCCTGAGTTTTTTTTTGTAGTGTTAGCTCCAGCTGAACTTTTCTAGACCCTTTAATGTGTTTACTTAGTAGGAAGTATGCCTACCTGGTCCATGCCTAATATTAATCATTATATGGTATAGCGTCAGTCCGATGGATCTCTAATATATGTACTGATCTCAGAAAGAGACAGATCACATGCTACTAAATTTCTGAGATATAAGCCACAGTCTTAGACAGTGAACCCAACAAGCAAAAAGCTAGATTCATTTTGCCCGTAATATATGGGAATTGCATTCCTCGGTCTCAAATGCTCAGAAATATTGACCAAAGACCCATTGAATACAAAATCAAATAATAAGGAACAAAATGAACCCATCAACCTCACTGGCATGAAGCAGATACCTACATTGAATTGAGAACCAAAGACTTTTGAATAGAAGAAGATTAGGGTGTAAAAGTAGGTCTTTTCAGAGGGCCGTAAATATATTTCCATCTGCATGTAAGAATGTATGAAGAACCAACTATTGCATAACCATGAATGGCATGTTGAAAATCTGGACGATCCGAACCTAAGGCATAGAACACATGATTTTTTTTTTTATCAAAACAAGCGGTTTTCTATTCTTAATTCTAGAAATTCAAAGAATAGCTCACCTCACTACATGTTCGGCGTAAATGTTATTATGTTAAGGAACCCTTGGAGGATGTCAAACCCAAAGACAACAATTGTAGGCCCGAGCACCTCTGACGGTCAGTACAAATCTCCAATTTGGGGAGCCGGATTAGAAAACAAAATGGGTATAGCTTATCGCTTCTTTGGTTACCCACACTGTGTTGTGCAGGGCTGTCGTGCCACGGTTCCACATCACGAAGTTGTCCTCAAAGACGGCCGCAACCATAGAGAACGGGAAGAAATCGATGGGGTAGAGATGACGCCTGCACCTTGTTGAAGGATACCAGCCGGATGTGGAAATGAGAGAGAGGACTGTGGCCACCACCTCACCGAGGATGCCTACAAGCAAGGGGCATGGGTAGAAGCAGATTATCACCTAGGACAAGCAGAGATCCAGAGCGCTGGGAGGGAGGGACTCACGCACATAGCGGTGGTCTTGGTAGACACCTCGATATGCTCCCATCATGACAGATCTCACGATTGTCGAGGCCGGATCTTAGACGAAATGCTCATGGGAGGAGGAGATGATCGCTCCATTTGGGACGCGACCAAGATCGAGATGAGCCGATGAGGCCAAGATCCTCGACGCCCGATTGGGGGTGGAGGAAGGGGAACCACAAGGGCGGCGCTGTGAAACGGCTCAAAATCACCTTGTAGACGGCGCCAAGCCGCCTTCGCCCGATCTTGAGCGCCAACGAGAAGTTGTTGGTGGCGGTGAGGATCTCCTCAATGGAGAAGACGGAGCTTCTGGAACGACAATGGTGCTCCACGGCGGCTGGCGTACCACCGCCACAGATGACCAGCCATGAGAGGTTCGTCGTCGCTGCAGACTTTAAGACCGCCGCCATGAACCACGACCATCAACATCATCACGCATGGCGGAGGGCACGGACTAGGGGTGAGCCGACTTACAAAGGCGGCTTCTTGGCCCCGCGTCACCGCCCGGCCAAGCGGCGTCCGCTCCTCCGCTTCATGGACGCGGACGTGGACGACGATGACGACGCGGTGGAGACCGAAATGAACCACACCCCGACGGAACGGGACAGGGGACCTCAAGGACGAGGAGGAGGAGGAGCGCTTCGCGGCGACGGCCTCCGCCACTTTGACGACAGCGGGCCCGACCACGCCGGGCTCATACACCACCGCTCGTGCTCGCTCTCCGCCTCCCGACCCCCCGACTTCGACGACGACGGGCCAGTTCCCGCGGCCGGTCTCCCGGCCATGCTCATGGCGCAGTTGGTTGGTCGGCAGACGCGGTCGGCGTGTCGCGCCGAAGCTCTGCGGCCAGCAGCAGCGTGCTCGAAATGGAGATGGGGATGGGGATGGGATGAGGACCGAAACGAGGATTCGGATGGGGCCAGGCGCACACAAATCGACAAGTGATAAATGATGCATGCATGCAAAGCGAGCACGGCCCCAGCAGCATGAATTAGGCACCGGCCATGCATGTCACCTGGTACTACCTCACCTGGCCGGTCGAGACGCGTTTTATGTGAGCCGTGGAATCTCGATCCAACGCACTAAATTAAAAGAACTGACGTGGACAGCCTAGAAGGCCGCCGATTCGGCGTGCCTTTATATCTTTAATGTCAACTGTAAAGACGCACTGGGTAATTTAGATCACTGCTCATCTTGTTATCCATTGTTCAGATATGCAACAAAAACAAAATGAACAATTCAATTATGAGAAATTGTGGCTAACTAATTATTGGTTTTCATACCACTGTTTTATTGATGCTTTCATCAGTTACTTTGACTTAGCTCAATGCTGTATTTGTGCTGTATTACCCTGATGTTCTGAAGCAAGTTTCTCCGAATTTCTTAATGGTTCAACAGAAAACAGGATGAGGATTATATGTGTTTTGCACACAGGGCACTCTTCCCCTGGTTGAAGAAACAAGAACATCTAATACATTGTCAAACTGTGCGCTGTACGAATGGCACAGCAAGGATGGCCTTGCAGAAAGTATGATATATTTTTTTCCCTGTGTCTGTATGTTTCGAAGAAATACATGAAAATTCTTTGTCTTAGTCGACATTTGCTCAGCATCTTGAATATTTTACAGTTGACGCTACCCTCTCATGCCTTTTTTTTTAAACCAGAAAATTGAATGCAGTTCAAGACATAAATGACAATTGCGGCTTAGTCGACGTGCTTGACTCATGCCAAATGCCAAGTCAAGCTTGCTGCTTAACTGTTGTTTGCCCGGCCTGATTGATTCTGCAGACAATCTGCTATTGTTTGGAGGACCTTTCAAGAATCCTGACTGCTTATATACTGAACCTGCCAGTTGACGGTGCGTGCATCTGAAATTCTGAATCTGTGGTGTAGGTAAACGAAACAGAACTTGATGTTGCTGTCTTATGTGGCTAAGTTACGAGAGCCCAGTACAGTCACTTGTGTTCAAGCGGAGAATCAAGTATTTGTGCATATAACATCCTGCGGCTAATCTTTTGTTATGCATCTGATGCCGCGCAGTCAGCTCAGTTGACTAGAATATTGACTCAAGGGTTATATTCTGCGTGGAGTTGGAATCTGGAAATGGTTGAAGCTGCTTTCAGTTACAGCAGGATCGGGTTCCTAAAGCAAGCCGATTTCTGTGAAAGTCGTCAGCTCATCGGATACACATGATAGATTAACAGCGAATTTTGTAGGTTATGTATTCCTAAAATATTGCATAATTTTGGATAGTATTCCTTGATAAACTGCGCTTCAATTGGATTGGACGAAACAGAACTTGTTGCTTGCTGGGTGTTGAGCCATTCCTTTTCTGAGTTTTCTCCAATAAATATAGTTGCATGTCTTGAGTACAAACTTTGTTAATGCTATGTGTATTTGCTCTACTCTACTCCCTCTATTCCAAATTATAAGTCATTCTAATTTTCTTGGAGAGTCAAGGTATTTCAAGTTTAACCAAAATTATAGAGAGAATTATAAAGATATATGACATCAAATAGGTAGGCTATGAAAATATAATTAACGAAGAATCTAATTATACTTATTTAGCATCACAAATATTATTATTTTATTACATAAATTTGGTCGAACTTAAGATGTTTTGATTTAAAAAAAATAGAATGACTTATAATTTAGGACGAGAGGAGTACTTCATTTTGTGACTGCTACACTTGTTGGCCGTTTTTTTTTCCGCCCAAGGAATAGGATTACTCCAGATTGTATATAGACTAAAGTAATCCCTGCAAGTTATGACCGGTCAACAGCGTGATAAGGTAACAGTAATGGTTGTCAACTAGTAATTTGTCATTTCCGTTCTTTGAAAAGGATTTTGTCAATATTTTTTGGTAAGCACGGCAGGCAGCGGATGCGAATTGGTTTTGTAGCCAGGTGCTTCTGGTTTACGATTTGCAAGGGTCAACAACTGAAATCCTAGTCCAACGTGGCAGCGATTACTTGCAGATAATATGCTTTCCTGAATTGATCGATAATGAATAATAAAATGAAAATACTAATAAAAGAAAAAAAAGGGAGAGTAACTTTATTTCCTTTGGGCTGGCCCACCCACCAGTTTTGACAAAGTGAGGGTGACGTGTAAGGCACAGGCAGCCGCACAGAGAAGGGCTTCCATTCCACAAAACCGAAATCCAAATCCAAATCCAATTTCCAATCCAACCCCTGTCCATCTTTCTGGTCTCTGCTCTTCCTCCGCCGCACGCTCGCTCGCTCGAATCGTCCTCTGCCCGCACGCCTCGCAGCGCAGGGCAGGGCCCCGCCGCTTCACCGCCCGCGCCAGCCAATGTCAGGCGACGGCGATGCGCGCGGCCTCGAGGCGGCGGCGGCCGCCGCCGCGGCCGAGGCAGCGCGGGAGCTGCGGGAGGCGGCCGCGGCCCTCGTCGCCACCCGCGCCGCCGAGGAGGACGCGCTGCGCCGCCGCGCCGTGGCGCTCGACGCCGACGTCCGCCGCCTCCAGGGCGAGCTCCACGCCCTCGATCCCTCCACGCTCGACAAGGTCCTCCTCGCCTCGCCTTCTCTTTCTCCACCTCTCCTCCTGCCAGGCTCTGCCTCCTCCACCTCTCCTCCTGCCCTCTGCCTCCTTCAGGTCTGATGAAAGCGCGGTTCCTCCTCCCGTATCTCATATCGCGATTAGCTTGCCGACGCGGATTGATGCCCTGCGGCGGGGATTTCATCAAAACTTGCGCCGCGATCCCATCTTTTGCTCCCCATCTCACCGTCTCATGCATGGGCGTGGCATGGAGATGCCCGACTGCTGGATTAATTAGATTGCCTTGTTTTGTCCGCATTTTTTATGATTGCTCGACCTGGAATGGTTACGCCCCCACTACTGTGCCGGATGTTCCAGGATAAGGTTCCATCCAATTCTGGCAGCTTGTCGTCTGTCTGTGTCTCACAAGCTATGAGAAAATCTGTTAATAACACGACTTGTATAGATGCCAGCCTGAAATCCGAATTCAACCTAATGAATCAAATGGTTGTGCGCATGCTGGCTTTGGTTCTTCGTTCGTTTTGGTTTGGAAGTTTACATGGCTTTGGATCATGCAAGTTGTTACATGTAGTGCAGCGTGGTAGCCTGGTAAGGACAGTTAGATTATATCAACGCATTGGCCTAAGGACATTGTTGTGTGCTACAGAAACATCACATATTGTAAAACTCTAAGCATCTTCTTATGGATTAGCGCCCTGCACGTCCTTGCAAGCACAATAGGTTTAAAATGACATAAGGGGCCATCTGCTCTTGTTCGAAATGTGACATTTCAGATTTATACTTGATGCAGGTCGAGGAGGAACTGGAGCGTGCCAGGGTCGCAATCACGGATAGTGATGTGGCTTCGTTTCTTCCCAGCAAGAGAAATGGTTAGATATGTTCTCTTTCATATATAATACCCTACCCTGTTTTGCTCTGGGTTCAAGTTTAATTGTCATCGATGGATCATGATTTGTTAATTTTGATGTACTATCGTGTGAACATGCAGGGAAGTTTCTTAAGACGTTTCTAGGCCCTGTGAACGTGCGGGTGGCGAGGAAGGAAGATAAGCTCAAAATCAAGGATGAGTATAACAATTATAGGGTATGCTTAAGATACTTCTTCAATGTCGCTTCGAAATACTTTTTTGTTTGTGGGTGGGGGGGGTCACATATGATATCAAGAACTGAAAGCGCAGTATTGTGATTTGTCATTGGTTCCAATGATAGTAAGCATTATGATGAAACTTGTATAATATATGTCACCTTTAATCTGCCACTGTGTACAAAATTTTAGGAGGAGCTGAAATCATTAGGGTAAAACATGACTAATTCAGTAAGTTCTTCTAATGAAACATCTAGCCTGTTTTGTGTGATGCAGTTATATTTTATAAACCTCTAGCTAGTACAGAAACACATAATACTGGGCTGTATGCTGGTAAATGCATTGTAATGTTGTGTAAAAAATATACTTTTGGGATTTTGAATCCAAGTAATCCTTAGATCTTTGGGCTGAACTGATATTTCATCTTGTAAACTATAAGGACGCCTCACACCAACGGTGTTGATGTTTTAACCTGTTCTATTGGCAGGATAGGACTGCCTATAAGTTTCTGTTGTTTCCATCTATCCTCCTACTACTGAGATGGTGGATATGGGATGGATGCCTTCCAGCATTGGCTGTTCAAATTTATCAGGTGTTTTGTCGATACTGTGATATTCCTTGAATATTTTCGCTGTGCTGATCACTGCATTGTCCAACAAGAACTATCTAAATAATGTCTTGCTGCTTCTCAGGCTTGGTTACTATACCTGTACACAAGCTTTGCTTTGCGTGAGAATGTATTAATTGCGAATGGAAGTGACATTCGTCCATGGTAAGGGATCATCACTCCCAAAGTTTCACTGCTTGAGATATTTAAATTTTTAACTGCAGCATTTAAGGTTAGTTGCAAATGTCCATTTATAAAACATAGCTGGTTAAATGTTTCTCAATTCAAATAATTTGTTGACCGTGTTTAGTTTATTCTCTGGTTAAATTTCTTTTCCAATGCATGCTTTCTCTATCATGATTCGCTGCTACATTTTCAGGTGGATATATCACCACTATCTCTGCAATGCTGATGGCTCTTATTAGCCTTACATGGGAGATAAAGGGACAACCTGATTGTTCTAGCAAGCAGGTATATGCTCTCTTTTTTTTCTCTGGGAAGAAGCACTGATGCAGGCATCGCTTGAAATTTCCTAATGTTGCACTCAAACAATAATCTTTTTGCAGAGGGGGTGCAACTTTTCTTGCGTTGGGCAATCATGCAAGGCATTGCAATGCATCTACAGAATAGATACCAGCGCCAAAGATTGCGTACTCGAATAGCTCTAGGAAAGGTAAGGTCTTGTTTGAATTTAAGAAACTAACTAACCTCTGTGGCATTGGAAACTTATAATTTCAATACATAGGATAAGCGAATCTCACATAAGTATTCCACACATGATCCTAACTAGAATTACAAAAAAGGTCCTTGTATATGATGAAACATTTTTCAAACCAAGGAACATTCTCCATTTCCATTAGCGTCATAGTGGAAATTTGTATATGATGAAACTAGATGCTTGGAGATCTTCACTAGGTGCTTACAAAGGACAACTCAAGTGATAATCAATGTTTCTCTGATTTAGTACTCTCAAAAGAAACAGTCAGTGAATTTATCTTAAAAGAAATCTTGTGGGCAGAGCTTATTGGTAGAATGTGAACCTGTGAATCAGTATTGTGTCACATCATTATCTAATACTTTTAAGGTTAACCTAACATCTCTCCCAATTAACTCCTTGCAGGCTAAAAAGAATGGATGTCGCCGCTGGAGAAACAGCTGGCGTGGAGGGGCAGCTGTTGCTGCTATATCCTGTGCTTTTCATATTACAGGTATGTTGTCTGCACAATTCAATTATGGCAGGTCCTGGTTTTCTCTTGAACTGAGTTGCCACTCATCTTGAACCCTCCAGAATAAGTTGTTGGTCCTTCTGTTATGTGGCTGGAGGATTGAGAGGGAGACGCGAGGGGAGCGACGGCGCTGACGCGCTACAGTACCCATGGTGCTGTTCACGGCTAGGGCTCGAGAGGTGAGAGAGCTGTCCATGGGGCATTTGCCTACGGCCGGGCAAAAGGAAGGGTTTCTTCTTAATTTTTGCTTGATTAGATCGATACATCTCATCTCCTTATATATGACTCCCAAGCAAGGCTTACTTGACCCTTAAGTAAGCGACCCTTATCTCTAATTAATCCTAACACTAATGGGCTATACAACCAACCCAGTGCCCAATAGGCCCTCGACGTACTTCTAACACTACACCCCACTTCGACATGACATGCAGCCTTCTCGAGCTGCAACCTAACGAACTTATAACGACTTCGACTCCTAACACCTAAAAACAAGTCTTTTACATCTTGTCTTATTTTATTATTCTCAACTTTGAAATAGATCGGACTCTTTATTTTTACTCCTGAACATAAGGTGGACACCATCCGCCTCCTCGGATCCCATGGACACCATCTAGACGAAAGGGTGCATGTGTATGGCCACCTAGAAGTGGTCGCAATAATGACCATGCGACGGCGCTTACACTTGCGCGCTCATTGGTGACCCCACACCTTCCCCTCGCCAGACGGCTGGCCGGTTCAGACCGCACAGAGAGAAGAGCCGGAGGGCTTCCGATGGAGAACAAGGTGGAGGGATGCGCCTCCAATCGCTGCCCACAGGGAAAATAGCATGCCCGCCGCCTGTGGGAAACCGCATGCTCGAGATCCCCGACGCAATGGACGAGATCGAGGTCCTCCAAGCAGCTAAGCGCAATCGGGCGGCGGGTCTCCGTCTGAGGAGAGCCGAGGGCGCCGCCCGTCTTGCCCAAATGAGGGCGATGCGGCGGAGAGAGCGTCGCATCAGTCGCCGCTGGCGGAATAGGGGGTCGCCCACCCCGCCGTAGAGGACGCCGGAGCCGGCGCCGCATGCGCTTTATGATGTTTTGGTGGTCGAGCGGCGATGGTACTGCCGGGTATCTGGCGCCGTGTAGATGGGTTTCGACAAACCGCTGATCCAAGCTTAAGCGGTGGCGGCGGCGGCAAGCTGTCATGTGGCGGCGGTGGTGGGGATCGGTCATGCGTCCTTGCGGTCCCAAAAGGAACGCATGAATCTCGCCACCATCTTGCCGAGGTCGAGCACCGCCGCCACAATTCGGCTTCGACATGACACCAATGGCGGAGGAGACGCCTGCGGGCCATCGACAAATGAGGTCTCGGGAACGCAGCGACAGGTTCCCGCGCAGCGTGAATCGGCCGATGTCCGCTGGTCAGCAACAAGGCTGACGACGGTGGGTACGACGGCGACGTGGTGGAGGTGGGCAGCGAGGTCGACATCGGAACGAGATCTCGATACAGATTGTTATGGGATTGTTATGTGGAGGAGGATTGAGAGGGAGAGGCGAGGGGAGCGACGGCGGTCAAGGCAGCCATAGTACCTGTGGGCTACGGCACTGTGGGGTACTGTTCACGGCTAAGAAGCTGCGAGGGTGAGAGAGCCGTCCATGGGCGCTTGTCCACAATCAAGCGAGAGAGGAAGGGTTTCTTCTTAATTCTTCCTTAATTAGATCGATACATCTCATCTCCTTATATATGATTACCAAGCAAGGCTTACTTGACTACTGCCAAGGCTTACTTGACTACTACAAGCAACCACTTTTATCTCTAATTAACCCTAACAATCGATGGGCTATACACCAACCCAGGCCCAATAGGCCCCTGACGTTTCTAACACCTTCATGCATAAATCCTGTCTAATTGGACTAATATCATCTGTTTGCTGCACTGACGCACCTGGTCCTGATGCTCCATGTTTTCAGGTTTTGAAGCATATGTTGGAGTTTTGCTTCTTCAGACAGTTTTGTATGGGCTTGCTCTGAATGGCAGGCAAGAATGATTTTAACAGTTTCACTATTTACAGTTGAATGTCAGATAGGATTAAATTGTCTAGGCCCTTGATTGAATTTATTGCTGTCTGGAATTTATTGCCTTTCCCAATATTTGAAATTCTGGGTGGTGGTGGAGGGATATAGGTCAAACTGTCTTGAATAGATCTTGACATGCCCGTTGTTCGAGAAAAAAACATGCCACTTGGCACTTGTTCTGAACTGAAATTTACACCTCATTTTCGTTTTTTTTCCAGGTTGTAGTCTGCGGATCTTGCTGGTGGTTATGGCAGTCGGCAACTTTGTCAACACTATGGAGACACTGCTACTGAAACTGAGGTTCAAAGCAAAGATGAAGAGAGCAAAGAACAGACAGGATCGCCCACATCAAAATTGACAGGCATCGTTGTTCCTGGAACCTTCGGTTTGTAAATCTTTTGACCTGTATTAAAGGATTTTCCATGTTCCTGGAACAATCGGGTTTGTAAATCCTTTGACATTGAAAATTGACAGAGCAAAGCTGACGCCATTGGTTTGTAAATCCTGTTGACCTGTATTAACATTTTTGCCTGCTTGTAATTCTCTGTTTTGGTAATTGGCCCTGTAACATTGAAGTTGATATTCCACACAACACGACGGATGAAACAATATTTCCTCTTCTCAGATGAAAACTGTGAGTTTGCGCTGTACCATGCTTCTTCTGTTTAAATTCTTTGGGGTGCTGAAATAGGATATATGTGCTCTAAAGTTGTGAATAGATATGGGGGCTCCATATAAATGGAGCAGAGGCTTGTAAGGTTTGATGTTGTCATGTGCTACTACGTACTTTATACAGGATTGTGTGAATGATTAGCATCATTTCAGTCTTGTGCTGCAACTACTGGTGCAGACTGCAGAGGAGTAGTATTGCTGACAGTCGCATCAAGTGGCAAGTAATTTGTGGTGCAGAAACGCAGCCTGTTCGTTGGTTGGTTTCAGCCAAATCGCTTATCACCACCAATGTTGTTTTCCTCTCTCACGACAAATCAAGTAAAGGTAATTTATTAGTTCAAAACCAACCAAAATGAATGGGCTTGACTATTTGAATATTAGATTTATTTATTTATTTATGTCTCAAGACATTAATAGTATCCCATGAGCACGTACCCTGTGCTAACGATCAATCCTTGTTCCAGTTGCAGCTTGCGAGTCCAAAACAAATATTGGTGCTACCAAGCTAGGAGTAGTATTTTGCAAGTTTTTTTTTTTTGGGATGGTGTGGTCCAGGAAATTCCTCGCCATATGACAGCCTGCACTAAATTACCAAAAACATCCGCAGGATAGGACCAGTGTTGGAGAATCCATTCCGGCTAACACACGGAACAAATCTTTCCAACAATCATAAGTGTGTATATGTATATATGCTGCAAATATGAGCTGGCTGGTCCTCCAAAAACTGCTGCTGCCTTCGACCACAACCTGAATGATGATGATGAGAGCATGCTTCACTTGCTCCCTTGCCTCTGCCTGCACATCATCACTCAATCATTGAGGTAGCTAGCATCCTAGATTCCTAGTGTGTGAGTTTGTAGACAAAGATCATCTTGTCTGTTCGGTGGTGCCGCGGTGGAGAGCTGTTGGCTGGGCCAAACAAATTTAGGGGCTGTCTGTTCACTCTTCATCTCCTAAATCTAGTCTCGTTTAATCTTATTTAA